CTGAAAGACCAATTACATGATTAATAAAACATCCCAAAAAATAGTGAACGTAGAGGGCAGCTTGGGTATTGACGGTAACCAAATAGAGGGTGTCCCATCGGCCATTTACCTTGGAGTATCCATTGATCAGCATTTCAATTGGAAGTCTCACATTCGAAAAGTTGTAAAATCCATTGCACCTAAGGTGGAAATTATATCTCGGCTCAGACATTATTTACCTAAATCAACTCTTATTTTATTGTACAACTCTTTAATTCTTCCACACCTTTCATATTGTATTGAAATTTGGGAAAACACTTATACTACCTTCCTGCAGCCATTACTTTTGCTTCAAAAGAAAATTGTCCATCTTATAACTTGTTCAAACTACCGCGCCCATACTGCCCCTTTATTTAAACGACTTGGTATTTCTTGACATTCACAAACTCTCTAAATTCAATACTTGCCTGTTCACCTTTGACCTTAAAAATCGCTTTGCACATGATGTGAATCACTACTTACCGTAGATCCCCTTCCACACAACTACCCAACCCGACTCTCCCTTGAAAACAATTTTTACATTCCACAAGTGCATTTAACTCAAAGTAAACATAATATCAAATACGCAGTTACAAAGCACTGGAATGCACTTCCCAATCACAATAAAAATATTACACATAGACACATGTTCTAAAAGTACATTAAAATCCCTCCTACTAAATGAGTAACATTCATTCATTCATCAACTTAGTTATTTATCTATGTATTTGTTCAATTATCCAGTTATTTATTTATCTATTCATTCAGTTATTTACTAATTGATCAAATAATGGATAAAATATTTCATCAACAGTTTGTTATTTTACTTTACATTATTTCACTTATTTAATTATATTTCATTATATTTCTTAGTCATGTAGACACTTTCTGTGTATAATGCTAGGCGGGGACACGGACTAGACTAGTTCAATACCGAACTATTTCCGTGTCCCTCACCAGTTGCATTCCTACAAAACAATATTTTATTTATCACACAAATATATGCATTTCTGTATATTAGTATTTATTTAATTTCCTTATGTTACTAGTGAAATAATTTTCAAACTTTCAAACTAAGTCTCAATTGGCGACATGTTCAAATTTTGTCAGTTAAATTTCACACAAGCCCACCATTTTCAATGTTACTGACAAATTTGCGATTTTTGGTGATTTTTTTGGATAAAAATGGTCGCCAGTTGGTCAAGTGTACATGCAATGAAACAAATCAATTTACACAATGACATAATTTGCATAATTACTACCGGGTATACACACCTTATCAAAACTTGAATTCGTGTGTGGTGAAAGTTTCCAAGCCACTTTCTTTTTTCTTCTAAATATTTCCTCATCTAGATTCTGTTGAAAACTATGCACTGATCCAGTTCCAATTCGCAGTTTGGGTACATGTAATAATCTGAAATGAGAACACACATATATATCGGTAATAATAATATTAATAGATAATAGATTGTGTTGAAAACTATGTACGATCCAGAAAAATAGCAGCAGGCAATGTGTTAATATGTGAGCATACATTAGTTCTGTGTCTGGTTTACTCAAGGGTGGTAGGGAAAAGTGCTTGTGTTAGTACAATACTAGAGATAAAAAGATAATACACAAGTATTTTCCTTCTTGGCTGAAATGGTTTACTAACTACTTACCTATTAACTCTATTATAAGTCCGATCACTAGCTACTGATGGCGCTGGCGTCATTGGCGCTAAATGAGCTTTGCGAAATGATGGCACCATCAATGAATTGGCCCTCTGTAACTGAGAGATTGTGTGTGGGGGAATAAACATCTTTTTCTTGTGTATGTAATGTATAATGGCACTGGACCTGAAATAAACACAGGGTTAAAGGTCAAATATGAAAATTATGAAATCATATTGTGAAAAGAATTACTTCATCTTACCTGGAAATTATTTACCAGTACATTGATAATAAGCATTTTGAGTAAATGTGTAATGTATTCAAACTATTTTGACATGAATGACTTACAGGACTCTGCCATAAATTGGCCCATCAAAAAAATCGCCCTGGACGATTTCATGGCTGGTTGGCCCTTATTTGGGGTTAAAAATTTCAAAAAATGATCATCAAATATTTTTTGGACTTCTATTTTCATTGAAAAAACTACCTAAGTATGCTGACTTTCAATGCCGGTAGTTGGACCATCCTAGACGAAAGAAACTATTGCAGAAGCTAATCTAAAATTTTATGCATTTTTCTCTTGCTGAATTTAAAAGTAGACCACCTTTCAGCCTAAAATTTCATTACAAAAAAATCACATTAACGAACCTGGTACACCAAATACAATTTTTTTTTTTTTTAATTTTATAAATCACGTAAGTAAATTCTTAAAGAAGTTTCAAATAAAAACGAACACAACTGCATTGCTTTGTAGCAAATTACTGGGGTAGTAGCATTTTCACTAGATTTTGTTTATGAAGGTAACAATACTAATCAGTGATTTAAACCTCAGACTAGTAATACAACAGACTCGCAACGCCTATTGTTTAAGGTGTTAATCGGCTTAATTGTATATGCTATGCGTGCCACGCTCTGTAGCATTGGCATAGACACCGTCGAAGTTTACCGAGCACTGGATATTCTGCACATTTCGCGCGCCTTCGGAAATTGCGTATTTCTTCGTAAAACGGATCCGGATATATTTTAAAAAAACGGGAGATGTGTTCTGGACATTTTGACCTTTGCAGCTGTGTAAGAATTTTAAGAATCGACCAAGAATCAGGGGAGTTACAAGTAACTGAATGTCTTAGTGTTTACCTCAAATAGTTTTTGAATATATAATGAGCAACTTTGAAACGATATTTCTCGCTGTTGCGGATTTTGCGGAAGGTTTCCAATATTTTTTCGAAGAGAGCTTATCGTTTTGAACGATCATACTTCTTTGTGTGTTACCCATTTTGTTTTCGTGTTCCGGGATGCCGAAACATGAGATAGCTAGTGTCATGTACATGTGTCATATCTCTCAGCGTATCAGCGTGATCCAGTAACGGTAAAAACTGGAGGTGCGTTATTTTTGTCGCGTTCGACTTCATAGTACGCGATCTACGCGTTGTTCAGTGACTGTTTCAATTTTCTATTGTGTGTCATTATTGTTGCTATTTCGAGTTTCACTGATTTTGTTTGACTTCCGTCATAGTTTTGTATAAAAATAGCCCAGTATATTTATTTTTATTCCTAATTTCAGGAAATGAAAAACACGAGATCGATCAGGGGTTGCAAAGTTCTACAGAGAAATTGTCATTATCTTCTTCAAAATGTTCTCCTAAAATAGTTTCCCACTCGTAATTATCGTCTTCAGATTCGCCAAATTTTTCCGTAAATGCCATTTTCGAAGTTCACTGACAACTCCTGTCGTCTATGTCACTTCCTGTCTTTATGTCTCGCGATGCATCGCGATAGTTGATTGTAATATGAATAGATCTCGCGTTATTTTGTGAAATATAATGAAAATGTTGTTGCTCAGCAACGTTTACTCGGTACGATAAGAACTGATAACCTAAACAAACGTGGCACGCATTACTTCAAAAGAAAACGCCGCGTTGCTAGTCTGTTGTATTACTAGTCTGAGTTTAAACATTCATCATCTGAAAGCTGAGATATAGGCAAATACGGTAATGCAAAATGCCGTATCAACTGATGGCCAATTTTACTAATATGCTGCATGCTTACATTTGCATTCCTTAGAAAATAGTTTCCTGAAACTAATAATATTAATTTTTCAAAATGATGACATAAAGTGTTACATATTTATTCTATTAGAGACAAATATAAACCATTGCATGTGTCATAAACTGAATCTACTGTGACTCATTTTCTTCATGAAAACACAACTGTAACATGCATACCCTTTAAGGTAGCGAGACTATTATTTGTGTTGAAAATTACGATTTTCACATTTATTTATTAATTGATGAAATGCACTATAAACTTTCATCTGATAAAGTCAATGTAACCTAGAATGTCATGTAAGTTGGTTAAAATGTAGATTTTTCGAAGGGAAGCAAGGCAGCTTCAGTAGTGTTTTCCAAAATCAACAACACAGGTTTAATTTGTGTGCCTATAAGTTTCAAAGATTAACTCAAGACAAAGCAATGTTAGGATGTGTTATCAGTAGCTACCTAACACACAATGAGTGTTTCCAAACATTTGAGTGGTTTGTCTCCGCCCCTGTTTATTTCACAGATTAGTCATTTGCATATGAATGTGTCAGACACAAGGTCACACAGCCACTGAAAAAAAATCATTGCTTTTGGTGTTTTCATCTGTCGATTTTATCGAACTATAGCTATCCCATTCCTTTTATTTTTGGGTTTCCAATAGCCTTACACATTTGGATGCCCCTACACATGTTAAAACAGGCCTTGATGGGAAAACAAATCGCCTGTGCAGATAAACAAGCTTGAAAATCTTTGCTGTGACTTCATCAACGTTTTCTAGGAGTTTATGTTTTTCAAAATACAAGGTCGTTAACAAAAAATAACGTATACTTATTGTCGTTGGATTAACACAAAATTTTCACAGTTTTAAGGTGACAATGAGAGGAACTTGAATGTGTCCAGACAAACTAATTTATGGATTATTTACCAATGTGTTGTGGTTTGAGTTGGGGGCAATGCGACTAAAACAGAAATTAAAATTCAGGACACTACTTTTCAAAACGCATTGCTTGAATAAAACTAACCAGACACATTCAATTAACCCGACTATTGAACAACTAGGAAACGTGAAAACAAAACTTATTATCATCAGCATAAATGCGTAATTATTTTTTTTACAAAAAAAGGAATTTTTCACTTTTGATTAAGTAACGCACCGTAGAATGCAGATATGGGCATGGCAAACATATGGGCATGGCGATTCCAAAAATATATTCTTTCCTGGGTCTATTCGTAGTCATTTGGTCACAATTAGAAGATGAAAACAAGTATGCAAATAATAGTCCCGCTACCTTAAATAGAACAAATACTGTATGTTGTTTTATTCTTACCTTCCATCATCATCATCATCTATCTTATAAAGTTCTTCTTGTTTTGTTAGCCTTGAAATAGCTGACATATTAACTTTAGGTGTTATTCGTGGCAATCTGTATGGTGTTGCACCACTAGGGTTGACAGGTGCACTATGGGATACGGTACTCAATGACTTAACACTGCAGGGCGCTGCAATTGCTGGCAAACTAGAAACCGAATCCACAAGCTGGCTTCTACATTGTGAGAGAAAACACAGTTAATATGATGTAAATTAAATACACCACACCAATGTGTAATTAATTGTGATGTATTTTATCATATGTATTTTTCATTTTCATATACACGTACAACAAAATATTTTGACGCTTACAATTTTGGCAAGACAATAATTTGACAAGCAAATTTCATGAGTCGATGACTCTAGCAGCCTAGGAAAGTCACTGTGACTCACTAGGACATCAGTGGAGTTACTGTGACTCCCTAGGACATCAGTGGAAGTTACTGTGACTCCCTAGGACATCAGTGGAGTTACTGTGACTCCCTAGGACATCAGTGGAAGTTACTGTGACTCCCTAGGACATCAGTTGAAGTTACTGTGACTCCCTAGGACATCAGTGGAAGTTAATGCGACTCCCTAGGACATCAGTGGAAGTTACTGTGACTCCCTAGGACATCAGTGGAAGTTACTGTAACTCCCTAGGACATCAGTGGAAGTTACTGCGACTCCCTAGAAAATCAGTGGAAGTCACTGTGACTCCCTAGGACATCAGTGGAAGTCACTGTGACTCCCTAGGACATCAGTGGAAGTTACTGTGACTCCCTAGGACATCAGTGGAAGTTACTGTGACTCCCTAGGACATCAGTGGAAGTTACTGTGACTCCCTAGGACATCAGTGGAAGTTACTATGACTCACTGTTCTATGATTCTCAGTGACATGTTCACGAGCTGCTACAATCAGGAATGGCCTTACAAGTGGAAAATGGTTTTGGTTTGTAAAACAAAACGAGTCCTATGGCCATGAGAAAAGTTGCTGGTCAATGTGTTTACCAAAATCAAACTTTATCAGCATTTTTTTCATGTTATTTCAAAAATGTCATTAAAATTATCATAATTTTTTTAATTTATTTTAATTTATTTTTGTTGAAAAATTGAGATGAAATTCTATCTTGCTCAACTGTTATGTAAAGCTATATCTTACAAATTTACTATAATAAGTTTCTGCTGTAGCTAATGGCAATATAGTTTTCGCCCACTGTGGCTAATGCCACCGGTACATTGATTCCAGGGTTTTCATTGAGGCTAATGATAAAATAGTGTTTAGCCACTGTGGCTAATGCTACATTGATTCTTGAATTTTGGCTAAGGCTAAGCCCAGATTTTTTTGATTACTTGTTTCTCAGGTTTTTATAAGGCAATTTTTTTAAGGAGGGCGGAAGAAAAATAAAATTATTTCTTTTTTGCCATTAGATTTGTGTGATTCTCAAAGAATTGTATGTGAGATCATTGATCGGAGAGAGGAAATGAAATTCAATTGTATTCCATGTAAAACTTTGTTTCTCATCTGTGCGAGACTTTGGTACTTTGATCATGATACTTCCATGAAAATACAACTTGGATTTGTTATGCGGCGGGCGGTAACAAAAATAAAGATAAAAATAATATTTTTTTATCAATTTTTTGCGCTTAGATGTCAGCGGGCACGAGAAATTACGCTAATTTTCGGCTCATGTTCGGCGGGTTCGCGAAACAAGGGATAATAAAAGTCTGGCCTAAGGATAAAATAATTTTAGCCACAGTGGTTATCTCGGAGTGGATTGTAACACAAATCAACTTTTGTTGATGTACTAAAACACAATTGTCTGTAAACCAAGTTTGAATCTAATTGGACTGCACGAATTTGAAATATAAGCCAAAATTGTTGATTTTTGTTAAACAAAATGGCTACCAGGCAACCATCTTGAATTGGAATGTAACCGTTGTGTCGTCACCGGAAGCGCTGTCCCAGCACAAACCTGTGTCATATGACGCCTTACTAGCCGATTTTGGCTAAAATAGCGCTCCGCCGCCTCTTTACAACAGTATTTATACGCGGAACTTGATATTGCTTTTTACAATTTGGGTTGCCTTTGAATCACATATTTTAGTGAAATATTGTTTATAGAGTGAAATATTATTGTCATACATAATTCAATCTTTAAAACAACAGAAACACATAATAACGATAATCAAATTTGTGTTTGAAGTTCCAAAGTAGTTGCATTATTTCCGGTTTCAACTAGTTCGAAAATAGAACGTCCTTGTGCGCAATAAAATCACGCGTAGAACTCCATCCGAACCAGACTCTAGCAGCGTAAACTTATTGCAATTTTCGCAATTTGGGCCCAGTTCTTACAAGTTTTCTCCCAGCACACCTAGCGCGATATGCGTCAGAACGGTGTAGAAGACGCCGAACTGCAGCGTCAATGGGAATGTAACATATCGTCTATGAACCAAGTATGAAGCGCTAAAGTTGTCGCACGGCAGTACATGTTCAAATTTCATGAAACAAACATATTCAACATGCCTTGAATATGCCATGCAAGATGGGGTGCAAAGTCTGTAGTACTTTAAGATAATGAACTAACAATAAAAGCATACTGCAATTATATTGTTTGTATTTTTTTTCAGATTTTATACAACAGAAGTTTATACAAAAAAGTTTATAATCTCTTTTTTTATATTGATTTTCTGTTATGCTGGGTTTTGAAAACAAAATAATTCTGGTTATAGTTTTTTGTTGTTGTCAGTTCATTACCTTGTGAAAACCACTGTAAATATTACAGCAGGATACAATGTACAGTGAATGCACATAACAAAATAACTTTTGTCTCACCATTTCACATATAATATCACATATCACCACTGCACAATCAGTTAGGATAGTTCAAGCTGAATTCAAATTTAGCATTACTGAGCATGTTACTGCACATATATGCAATGCATTGTGGGAGAAATGTATCATTGTATATAGTGGACATACTGGAAATTGAGAAAATAAATGTAATTATTCTTTTAATTTTAATAATATTAAGATTTGTAACAATAATAATATACAACTTTTTCACCCCATGTCTCTGAGCAAAGGTTTATAATATAAATTAAGATATAATTCATAGAAACCAGAGTAAAAATGCCATTTTAATCAATTTTTTATGATATTTCAGAATCTGAGAATTTTTTTTTACACTTTTGGTTACCTGCTCTTATTAACAAATAATAATGGAACAAATATAATTGTTAATTCAGCCTGAACCTCCTTAAACAAACAAGCAAACAAAGTCATGCAATATATCCTGCTGGCACTCAGATATATAGATGTATATATCCTGGGGAACAGACATAATAATTCAAGATTTCTCTTGTCAATAACTTTAGTATACCACCTGTACAAATCCTCCATTGTCCGGATGATCAATAACTGACCATCCACGGTAAAAAACAACAAATACCAAAGCGATGAAGTGGTGGTCCGGATTTGTAGACACCATAACTAACATGAACGCAAACACTTACATGTACATAGAGTAAACAGCAACCGAACAGTTGTTTTTTGACAACTGTAGCCAGTCTATGTACATACACAATAAAATAACAATCAGTAACGTGGTACAACAAGCTACAACAAGATTCAATTTAAACACATAAGTTAACACATAAATAATGAAGTGTACAACAATCAAAGTTGTGGTCTACACATGCGACTAACGATACCATATAATCCCTTGAAACCAAACTACAGAAATATGTGCCTATTATAATCTTTTATTAGAGTGTCACTGTATAATTAACATATATATATATACAGTCGATTTTATTAAACAGTATACTAGCTCTGACTACAAACTTTACGTGGATAAATTCCGGGCAATGTGAAGTTTACACCAATGTACCAATAATCAAGAACCAGACATTAATGTCATATACTGTATTTGCTCTGTTTTTAGCATATGCACTTACAGAGGTGTGTCTACAATAAAGATAATTTGGGGTTTACGTGCACTTCTATTGGAAATGTTTTTCTAATTGAGCAAATACAGTACATATACATACTATAGAAAGAAAACACTATAAACGTCCTTGTGCATCTGTCATTGCATGCTTTCCTAGGGAGGGGGAGGGGGCAATAGCACCCAGAGGTACAAATATAGCATAGAAACGTTGTAATTTTTTTTATTTAAATTTAATTTTAATTCTGTGTCTAGGTGGTAGACGAGGTAGAGATAAAATTATTTTTTTTGGGTTGTCTTGATTTAGGACGTAACTTCCCTTAGGACGGAAATTGACAGTTGCACTGAACTAACCATGTAGCTAGAATCTAACCGAAGGCACTAGAGACATGCAGACATTTTGGATGGAATACCTGTTGGCCTTCTCCCTGGGTATAATTTGTACATGTATTGGTGGTAAACATAATCTGATGAACAAGTTATAACAATAAAACATGAATTAAACACAATTGCAATTTACACTCCCATTCAGTAATATCATGAAAACATGGATTATGTAAATTCCGACATGTATCAACTGAATAAAAAAGAAATGCCACAGTTATTTGTAGATATTTGTAATACTCCACATGGACTTTTTGAATTATTGAGCTGCTTTGACCAAGTGGAAATTATTGATGACATTCTGAAACAGCAAAGCAAGCTAATACTGTAAAATGACTAATTTTCACTGGGTTTAAATTTCGCTGATTCACCATTTTAGGCATATTCAGTGGTTTTATTGTTTATATAATGTGTTCTATGCTAAATTTTACATATTCACTGGGTTTTAATTTAGCGCATTTTCCAGTCCGTGAACTAAGCAAAATTAAAACCCAGTGAATAATTAATCCTTTTACAGTAGCCAGCTTGAAAGTTAAGCTACACCAGGATTGTACTGTACTTGCATCTTACAAAATGTACATACATGTACTCCAATGTGGTGTAAGATTAGAAAAAAACTTTTTCTTATTTTACAATACCATGGGATCTTTAAATTATATATGGTAAAATGGATACATACAATATAGAATGAACATACAAAACCTGTGCAGGTATATACGGTAGTAGCATACATGTACGAGTCATAATGTATTCACTGGAAGTTTGAAGCTAGCTAAACAATTATAAATGACATCATCTTATCTGGTCAAGTAAATATAATAAAAGTACATGGGACCGGCAGGAATAAGATAATAGACATCTTTAGAACATTTAAAGGGTGGTGGTTGTCACGAAGCACCTGTTTGATTTTTATATAAATAATCAATGTATTTTACATACGTTGTATACGTTGCTACGAGTTCCACATCATACAAGTTTCAAACAACACTTAGCTCTAAAATTTAAAACTAGTTGCCATATTTTCATCAATTGTTATTCAAATGTCAGAGTTCTGACAAGTTCTCAGTTATCTGGTTGCTTAGGTCCTCACAAAAAAAATATTTCTTGTCAGATTTTTTTTTTTTTTTTGCTAAAATATTTGATGGCGCACAAACTTTGCAGGTTTAATCAATTCGCCAATAGAGGGTGGCAAAATAAGTGGAAAAATATCGGCTTGCACTTTTTTTGGTGATTTGCACACTGACTAGCAACATAATTATTTTTTAGGTCTAATTGTAATGAAATAATAAACGCTGACTACCTCAGTAGCATAATTTGCATATAATTATAATATAATTTACATATATAAGTGAATTATATTATTATTGTTTGCATATGTGATATAAAGAATCTTTGCCCACCTTCTCTAAATCCAGTAAAAGCAGAGAAATCATAAATCATTTCTTATCTTTTTACAATCAATTTGATTTACCGATAACTTTGTAATTCATGCGATGTGTATAATCAAAGCCAACCAGAGAAGAAAACAATAACAGCAGAGTACAATGCATAGTTCTGATCACATTCTCTCTTCAACAGAATTATAACACTTATGTTCCCGAGAATAACAATATTATCAGGGACTGGAAAACATTACAAGTACATACATGTAGGAGTTGTTAAATGTAATAGAGCATTAGAGGTATTATCAAACTGAAATCCCAGTATAATGCATGTTTTAAATGAATAGACTGCCTCCGTGACAACCCCAGTGAGACCAATGTGAAGCTTCACACAGGTGAATTAAAATTACTATACCACCGCCATGCTATAAAAAACAGAGCTTTCATGTCAATTTTTAAACATTTTGAATTCTTCCGATTGAAATACTCATGACGAGATTTGTTCAACTGGTACACATGGATTCAGGCCTGTAAAGTAACTAGCAGACCAAAGTAACTGGGATAGATGAGTACCAAACACCTGAAATGTACAGTACTATCCTAGATTGATCAAATCCTGCAAGAAAAACACTGATGTCAAAAAACTTGTGTGTGTTTCGTGAGTCACTGCTGGCTCCTTTGTGGCCTCAATAAATCTATTTTAAAGTGTACTCTGCTTTATGAACCATATCATACAACTTTCACAAGTACACTGGGCTTCTCACACATTACAGAACTGAATTTCAAACAGATTACATTTGTACTAACAATGGGCTATTGTAACGATCTTTTGTATTAATTGACCCTAAAAGTCCCATGTTCTGTGATGTGGTCACTATGATCCCCATTACCACCGTTGTGTGAACTCTAGATTTACATGTCTACTGTTTTCAATTGATACGAAATCTTAAAAATCTATTTTTTTTCTGAACTTAATTTGCAAATGATATGGTCCATTAGCTATCGATTCAATACTGTCAATGACTTTATTGTCGCTTGGTTTATAAGCTTATAAGCATAACAAGTTTAATGAAGAAGTTTCTGTAGTCATGGAAAACTTTGCCACTTGGAATCTGAAATTAAATGATGGAACAGCGGTGTTCAACACCCACTGATTTCAAAAACTGTAATGTGAAAATTAACATGTTTGAAACTACTGTAAGGGGTTGACCAATGGCTATTTTTAAAAACAAATCTGAAGAGAACATTTTTAGAAGAAAAAAAATTCTACAGCAAAGTTTACAGAGAAAAAATACCAGTAATATTAATTAAAAAACAAAATCACACACACTTGATAAAAGTAACCCACCCCCCTCCTCAAAATTTCAGCAAAATCAGTGTGAATACAAATTTAGCTGGAGTGAAAAAAACTCTTTGTTCAGGGTTAGCCCTGGGTCACAGAATGATTGATTGATATAACAAAAATAGGGTCCCAGGGTCAAACATATACATACGAATACAGATCTATGGGCCAATCCTGGGTAAAAGATCACTTTTGTTAGTTAATGACAAACATTTTACATAAGGAAGTAAGAAACATCAATTGGATTCCAAAATACTGTTCAATGTGTAACATAAAGTATAGACTTGTGTGTATAATACTTATATAAACAATTGTACAAACCCTAACTGATTTTACTAGTATTTCAAATAAGTCCAAATGAGAATAATGGGTTGTTGATTTGTAATACATGAGTTTGAGGTTCTCTGGTTGCTAAGCTACCACGCACACGAAGGGGGGACAGGGGTGTGAATCTGCGTGGAATCACCTACGATCAGCAGAAATGGGTAGTTTCAGGCAGATATTTTCTTATGCCCTGGCAATGGCGATTCTGTATTGTAGCCATCCATATATCTTTGAAGGTTTATGAAATGTTCTTAAAATACAGAAAACACATTTTACATTAATATACATGCACAATTAGACAAAATACAATTTACAGCATCTTGATATCCATGCGTATTTTTTAAAGATATTTCTGGGGAACAACATACAAGCATGTGTATTCAACTTGGGAAAAACAGAGGCAAACAGGCTACTGGATCACTTGTAAAACTGTCCCCCTTCTGACACAAGCTCGCTCAGTAACGGCACACAGGAACCTGGAACTTGTGTATTGATGGTGACTTTCCCACCTAACTAATCATGATCAACACGGTTTTAATCTTTTAATCACTGTATGAGCTCATACAAACGTGCTAAATTCCTAAAAAGTGAAAATGTGTTAACCTGTTCACAAAAATAAATAAATTTTTGATCAATCAATGACACAATAAAACCACGCTGTTGATCTGTGGCGTGACCATGTCACACTAGATGGTTAACTGCTGGATAAGACATTATTACAATTGAGTGAATTGCTGGGCAGATATAATACTTTTTCAATTCAGTGTATTGTTCATGTTGGCCACAACGCGTAAACTGATGCCATGGGAAGTGTTGGTCTCAATGGTTGAGTAACGATGTGACGATAAACAACGTGCCACTCCACGTCAGTTTCGTCGCGTTTACGAAGATCTGTTGTACCTGCCACCGTCCTTTCCTGTTGGCGGTGCACCTTTGAAGCACGAACTTTATAGTGACGTTGACGGCGGCTCGCTCTGCCTTTTCTCCTGGTCCAACTTTTGAAAACATGAGTACACGAAGTAACAGTACAACTGCGTGATTCGGTATTTGGCCATATAGTAAAATATAAATAATAGTATAGTATACAGAAACATGCACCTTGATTCACATATATCATTCAAGGTGGACAGCTCGTTCACGGTTATATAGTAAATCAAATATCGTTTGAGGAGACACATAAGAGTAAAATACATAGAACTACGGGAATTTGCTGCTAAATATACGTCACCTAGGTCACAGTGTCACGATCGTTTAACACCTTTCCGTGTGTTTAATTAAAACGACACGGCAGAAATATATCGTGATATCACCAACTTTCACAGTAATTCCGAAATAACATACCTGTTTTCATATTTCATATCTGACGACGCCGTCGACCGCGGCATATTGGCAGCAGCAGGTGTACCTTCCTAAACCCCGGCTTATGTATAAGAACGCTCAGCAAGCCATCGACGCGACCACTTCATTTACCGAGGTACGCCATTTTGGTTGTTAACCGTATTTGCATCACGTGACCAAGAGTCTCAGACAGATAAAATGTTGCCAGGAAACTTATAAGCCGGAAAGAGGAGCTTATAGCTTACAAGTCTTGTTTTTATTTAAAGTAAATGAAAATGTTAACAATAAAATTGCGAAGTAATCGCGTTTGTTTGTTTGTTTGTTTGTTTGTTTGTTTGTTTGTTTGTTTTACAACCACTAAACTATTTTATACCATGCTAAGTTTATACAAAACTCAAGACGACTTCAAAGTTTGGTCTACATAACATTTTTGTAAGCAAGTCTATATCACCGACAGAAACTCCCTAGTAACTGCAAAACAAAAATGTTTTTTATTTTATTTTATTTCATTTTATTTCATGTATTTTATTATCTTATGTTTTGTATTTTTTTAACTATCGCTACACACCCGGGCCTTGTGCCGGGGCTTTCGCGATTATTAAAACTTTAAATAAATAAATAAATAAATAATACATAAAGTATATACAAAATAAATTAGAATATTTAAAAAGAAATGAAAAAAGAGCCTAAACTAGGATAATATTTTAATCCGATTGTCTAATCACGGTTTATCGGTATATATTAAAGTCATATATTATTATTATTAACATCGGTATGTATTAAAGTCGCGTTCTCGCTACGGTTTGCTTCAGTAAATCAGTGCAATCAAGTGACAACCAGTTTATATGGTTATATCGTACCTCGTCGCTTAGCATATATAAAAAAAACACAAACATTATTTGTATTGACTGACTGGCTTTATATGGCGACGGTGCTGTTTACATATCGCCACAGAAGTGTGTCTTCGACATAGAGGGCGCTGTAAATTAACGTCTTTCATCTCAAACTTCAACTTGACGTTGGTTCTGATCATGGAGGTATGTTTTAGGTACGATTTGATTCTGAAATCCGATCGTCATGTTTCTTTTTATAATGTTATGAATGTTCAGAAATAATGTCAGTTTATGACTAATTCCCGCGGTCTCAACCCAACGACGAAGGTCGCCATCCGCATGTGTCAGAACGGACTCGACCGATCCAAAAAAGTCCACCAATTTTCACTGTTGTTAGTTTTCCCAAAATCATCCTCAATGAGAATAATTTCAATTTAAACACTAATCTATGCACAATTCATACACTATCCCCCGCTTAATTTGTGGCGTTTCAATTAGCGTATTTCGTTCCATAAACGCATTATATAAAGCTATTTATACTAGAACTATTTTTAGGTACGTTGGTTTGTTAGATGTTCTCTTGAAGTTAAGTGTTTGCTATTTCGTAGCTATTGCTCCAATATGTAATATAGTTATCTATTATCAGATTTAAGAGCATATTTCCATTGCATTCGAGTGGCTTATAATAATACGTTTAGAATATTAGATAATGTATCCCGCTCTTTTAACATCCGGGAGTTTTCACTTTGATAATGGTGTTATTAGACGAGCAATCTTATAAATTGCGTATGGGGCATATTAAAATAATATTTAAATAAAAGAATCTATTGGCAGAGATGTACTTTTTATGTTACGGTGAAAAATATGCGGCTATGGCGATACAAAATTTTCGGGGGACCAGGTATGCTAGCTTAAAATGTTAATACTTAAGAAATGCCATATGTAATTGTTATTATTATCTTTATTAACTACTAACTTTGTTTTTTTTAACAAGACTATATAAAAAAATGAACAGTTTACGCAACTTTCTCCATGTGTGTGATTTAAAATACTAGTATACATCACTTTTGAAAAAAAAAAGTAGTACGCTGCATGATAACAAACCAAAACTCATTTCCCCATGTGTGCCACCATTCTACCTCTAGCATAAATGGTTTAAACCGCAGTGTTTACTGTTTTCCATGTGTGCCACCATTCTACCTCTAGCATAAATGGTTTAAACCGCAGTGTTTACTGTTTTCCATGTGTGCCACCATTCTACCTTTAGCATAAATGGTTTAAACCACAGTGTTTACTGTTTTCCATGAGTGCCACCATTCTACCTCTAGCATAAATGGTTTAAACCGCAGTGTTTACTGTTTTCCATGTGTGCCACCATTCTACCTCTAGCATAAATAGTTTTACCCGTGGTGTTTACGGTTTTCCACGTGTGCCACCATTCTACCTCAAGCATAAATGGTTTAACCCATGGTGTTTACTTCTAACCAGGCCCTGCGTAGACCATTGTTCTGTCAATCGATAACAAGGACATGATGTTTGTGGTTAATAAATAACCAGGGTGACCTCCAAAAACATGGCGTCTCTACTCAATGTTGTTCTCTTCGTTTTAGTTTGTCAGATCCCCATTGCCATCTCGAAATCAGTTGAGAAGAAATGCATCAAAAACGGACCGTGTTCTTGCCAAATGTCCGATGGTTCCGGGGTCATTGACCTAAAGAAAATCACCAACGCTGGAGATCCCATGCAAGTCGATGCCAGGCAAGTGTTATGGGGGATATATTGTTTCATTATGCCCCTTTTACTGTATTTGGAGACGGTGGTATCCACCCGATTCCTCTGGGCAATTACTACACATTTTTTGTGATGGCGAAATTGGAAGTTGTAGAATAGTTAGGTCGCATCTCACCCTGACGCTACTGCGACAGAGCGTACTTAGTGCGACAGCCCTTGACCACCAATCACGATATACGTAGCAGTACCTTGCAGACCCAAATGTGTCAACGATTCATGCACGTGAACACGATGATACCATGACAGATCTAAGCATTGACAGTACAGTGGGACAGTAGTTCTGTAATTTCAGAACTATAATAATACAAAGTAGACGACTTACAAGTGTCAGTATCACGTGGTTTTTTTGGTATGGGTACGTCATATAATCTGTAGTCTCGTTCGCAGCCAGTCATGCTATGGCACCAACATTCACCTTCAAATTTATATCTATCACATCATTTCTTCCTTAAACGGGTTTACGGTACTCAGTTTCTATTCTCTGTTTTTTGTTTCAGTTCTGCACATTTTCCTTTTATTAAAATTTCTGTTCTTTTTCTCTCTCAGCACTCTTGTTCCCTGGTCGTCCATCCTTCTTTCATTAATCATTGTTTTTCGACATTATCGTCTCGTAAAACAGTATGTATCACTGCATGGTAGATAAATGTTTGATTTTGAACACGTAATCCAGAAAAGGCTGAAATCTCGTATATCATATTTATGCACGAGACGATAGCAGCGCGCATCACAACCTAAGTAACTTTGAACGAGGCAACAAGTTGCTGACGTAATGCGACAGGATATCACGCACACTAGAAAACCACCAATGCCATTCACAAATTGGAAAACACACTCTGTAAATTAATGCACACCATGCTACAAACTAATAAATACGTTTTTTATTCATAGATTTAAGCACGTAAAAGCACGTGATGCAAACTCGTATTCCTACAACCCTTGCTATCCATTTGAAGAAGTTGGTTGCCATGGAGTCGCAGTAAGTACTTTCATAACAATTTTCGGCTGCCTTTCTGCATTTAATCCGAGACACATTTTTAATGTTCGAGTGAATTTAGTTAGAAATAAAGCACCGGTAATTTGATGAAATATATTGAAATAGGTTTGTTTTGATTGAGCTGCATTTTTAGCTGGTTTTGTGGCAGACAATGGATTCATACAAGTGTAGCATTGGAGGATGTATATGCACATGTAAATAACGTAAATACAAGTTCAATGTGAGTTTCTGTTCGAATTTCCAACTATGCATGTTATCAGCACAGGCGATATGACCAGACAAATTACCCCATCTTTTTAGCTCCGCTGTCGACTTTGTCGAGCGGATTGTCCGTGATTGTCCGTCGTCGTCCGTCGTCCGTCGTCGTCCGTGTCAATGTTTTATATTTTTGACTTCTTCTTGAAAACTACAAGCCTGAATGCTTTGATACTCGGTGTATATGTGCCTTGGGTAGACCTCTCTCAGATTTGTTCATTTCATGATGATATCTTCAATTCTCTAATTTTGGTGAATATTTTTGTCATTTTTGGTAAAAAGTGATATTTTCGACTTCTTGTTAAAAACCGCATTTGCCATTGCTTTGATATTACATATATAGGTACTACATGTGGATTTCTCTCAGATTTGTTCATTTTGTAATGATATCTACAATTCTCTAATTTTGGTGATTATTTTTGGCATTTTTGGTAAAAAGTGATATTTTCAACTTCTTGTTAAAAACCGCAAGTCCAATTGCTTTGTTATTACATATATAGGTACTACATGTGGACCACTCTCAAATTTGTTCATTTGTATGATGGTATCCTCAATTCTCCAATTTTGATGAATATTTTTGTCATTTTTGGTGAAAAGTGATATTTTTGAATTCTTGTTGAAAACAGCAAGTCCCATTGCATTGATACTATGCATATTGTTCATTTTCTAATGATATCTTCTGTTTTTTAATTGAAATGTGCAATGCTAACAGCGGAGCTATCTCAGCCGAGAGGCTGCTTGTTTTCCATTGATACCACAAAAGTCATTTTGCAAACAAACGTAGCCTTTGCCCCTTTAATGAAATTTTACAGAGCATTAAAAAAAGAGCAATATGGACGACAAAGTTCACATTTTAATATTGTAGTTTGATATAGTATGTTGATTTGATTCCCATTTATACTAAAAATACTAAACTTGTTTTTGCACCACACATGCAAGTATTTGTTGACGAAACAGTGCGTGTTTCTAATACGCATTGGTTGTTATTGGTACGTACAATAAAATCACTGTACATGCGCGTTGTTTGTTTTTACAAAGCGAATAATATCGTTTGTGGTGCCAAAGCAATATATTTAGATTACGAAAAATATGATTCCCAGTTTCTTCTTCAACATGCAGTCTCGTACACAAATGTTAAAATTGTTTATAATTTACAAACTGGTTTTGAATGTTTTAGATCTGTCAAAGAGTTCCAGATCGTCGTGCTGCTTTATATTTCACTCTTGGAACTCACGATAAATCAGATTTTTATCACAATGGAACCCACGTGATTCTAAAATACGAAGGATTGACTGGAACAAGTCAAGTTGTAAGGTGAGAAAGTGTACCCGAAAGACGAACCGCTTTTGTACGAACAATACAAAATAGTTCTAAATAATTATAATTATTCTTTCAATAACAACCTCGTATTAACGAAAGTAAAAGTACTATTTTATCGAATGAAGCATATTTCTACCTGTCTGTCAAATGGTAAAGTCATATTTATTTTTATCGCAAAGTTTCACGTCTCATGGATTGACTATACGTATTCTCGTATTTCAGGACGTCACACATTACTTTAGTTTGCAATGAAGAAAACGACGACACGTTATTTATACCGTATGGAGAGGATCCTTGGGTGAAACCATTACATTATGTAAGTATTTGTCACGTGACTCTCTAATATGTACTAAGTATTTGTTTTGTGTGACGCTGATACAAACGTTGTTTCTTGCTCAGTGTTTGTATCATAAGTTAGCAAAATGAGTTTACCTCTCATATGTGGTGTAAGAATAGCCTACGGAGTTAGCATTTTTCAATACTTATTTCGTCACCTCATAACCTAAGCCAGTAACACATATAACAATCAGTGATGTAATTGATGACGTCATCACTTCCGTAGTGCTAATATTAACTGTGCATTTCTCTTATTTTCAGTATTTCAATCTTCTAAGTCCATGTTCATGTCCAGGAAAATGTGAGGAACCGAAGCCAGAATAGATTTTATGATGTCACATCAATAATATTTGTAAATAATGATGATGTGGTGGTTTATCCTTATTGAGTTATAGATGACTAATTTTTTTTGATTGAGTCAAATTGATTTTTAATGAAATTTACGAAAAGAACTTCAAAACACCATTCATATAAATCGCGCCCTCTTGTGGTGGAACGCTTCTTGCCGTCAAAATGACGTATTGGGTAGAGACAATAAATGACTCACTGTAATTGGTTGTGTTGTCGTTCGTCTTCCAGATTATAGTAAAATCTCTAAAAACACAATCTTCAATAACTGCACGTTGCCGAGGACGCGTTTCATAGAAAGATGTAATCTAAGCAAACATGAAATTATATATTTAAAGACACGGTCATCCGCGTTGTCGATTTTTATAGTATGGTCGCTGTAGTGAAAACATATTACAATGAAGATGTCATTATGATTTCTAACTACATATGTGAAAATGTAATCATGCGTTTAGCCATCATATGCGATGGTCTTTGTCATCTTGATGATTTTATTGCAAATATACGCAGATTTTGATGTAAGAATCCATATAAAGTTGTATAAAGTAATAAAACTTATCTCTCTTCTTCAATTTGAGACATAGACATTCCAGGTGCGACTGATTAAGGCTCATGAAGCTCCGTCAGAAGAAAATGCTTCAATATGTTGTAAACCTTGTTTTTTACATATTAAAGAGTGGGGGAGGTATTCGATCTTATGTTTTTTTTGTTAGCCATAGATAAAAACTCACTGAAAGCAATTTTCAAAATTAACCCTATGAGCGCCCACGCCAACTTTCAGGCACCATCCACAAACAAGCTCCAATTATAGTCTGCTCTATTTCTAAAAAAAAGTTTGACGAAAATTTCATTTTTTTATCAAAAACTAAAAGCAATGTAACATTTTGTCTGTTCAGTCCAAAATCAAAATTCAATGAAAATTACAGGAAATGTGAACAAATTCACTCTATTTTGAGCAGAAAAAAAATGGCCCTCAAATAGGTAATATGTCAGTTGCCAAAATGTTACAAAAATTACACAATAGACGTTTGGTAGTAGTGCAATAATTCTTTGTATGGTGAAAAAATAATGTTTCTCAATAACTTCGCCCATTACGAAAAATGTTGATTAAAATGAATAAATATAAACACGACTAGTTGCTTGATATTTACTTACCAATATAGCATTGTAATATTACTCTTCTCCAGTATTATGTGCAAATTTATTGTGATGTCATATTTTTTATAAAAAACATTGCATTGCATCATCAAAATAAATGATGATTAAAATCGAATATAACAGTGCTTATTATATGTTTGTTTTTGAAATTTAAGTGCGCAAATAAGATATACCCAACATCATTTATGGTTTAACTATTTAAAATGCCTAGTAACCCTAACTTTTTGAATCATAATCCTACACCCATTTCATGATAATATTCCATCATGTTTCATTGTGTCCCATTCTATATTCATATTTTAGCTGAACTATATTTCCTCTTTAAATCAATTTTGATTTCGCTCTAAAACAGGGATTTTGAATTCATTATTTGGGACATATTTTCAGTCTGAGTTAGCTGCATATCAATAACAAACAACTATTAAATGTACCCCTTCCCAGCTTAAGTATTAAATATGTATTTTCTGTTACAGCGCAATAAATCGAAATATAAAATATGAATGTCAGATAAAATTATCTTCAAATTAGAAATTTTAATTAAAGTCGCGAAGCTTGTCTGAAAATTCCAGAATTGTGTTGCTTAGGGAAGAGAGAAAGAGTATCATACTGGAGAGCAGAAAGTCGTCTCCATAGTCGAAAAGGTGCCTTTCGATTGCGGGAAAGTAGACAAGTGGTCGGACAATTCGTTTGCAATGTCGGGAAAGTTTGTAATAATAATGGACACGTTTATAGAAAGAAAGTTGTCAAAAAATATCTGACATGCTCACAAAAGGTTGTTCCTAAAAAGTCGGGAAAGCAGTTTAATAAAATAACTAAGCTATTCACAAAGTAAGTCGAGAGAAATTTAATTTTGTGTATAGCCATTCCATAATGCGGACACATATTGGGGTGAAAGCATATTTTGAATGACGTGAATGTCGCACCACAGCCTACCGTACAAAGTCGAGAAATCTTTTTTGAAAAAGGCTAAAATTGTCAGAAACGTCCAACAAGTGTTTTGCGCAAAACGCGAAGTAGTATTCTAAGTCTGTAATTTGTTATCGTATACGTGTTTTTGTGTGTGTGGAGCCTAATAAGTAGTTTCCGTAGTCGTGGAATTCATCTCAAACGACAAAAAAGTTGATTTGGTAGGCGAGAAAATTGACTTGAACTCCGGAAAGAAGTTTGGATAGATGGGGAAGTCATCGGCAAAGTCTCGAAAAAAGTGTTTTTATAAGCAGACAAGTCATACCCGAAATGTTGTTTATGAAATGACAGAAATGTAATCAACAAAGTCGGGAAAGCAGCTTTTCGTGGCGGGAAAGCTACCTGGAAACTTTGAGGTCCCAAAACGTTGGACAATTGTAATCACTCACTGTATTTAAATTACCAACTGCTCAATACTTCAGATCATATTCTCACAGTTGACTCCAAATTCCAAACACGAGTTCATCCCTGTGCTCCAACCAGACCAGCCGTACTTCTAACATCATCACTCACAAGAACGTGTTCATATCTAGTCAGTAAACGCCCTCGTGAACCCACAATGGCTGTAACGTCATACCTCGGAATTTCAAGACTGTTTTTCACACGAAATGAGACAGAAATTTTATTTGAACTACAATATATACGTATACTTTGTAAACCTTGTTGTAGTGTCAACACCACCGTGATTAAAATATATAAGACCAAGATGCAAGCAACCCAAGCAATGCGTTTAAGTCTTTATTTAAACCAACGTTTCAACAATACTAATATTGACAGATAAACAGGAACAACTTTTAAAAATGTATAAATAATTATGTTTTAATAATTTTGTTTTGCATTGGAATGTGATTTTTCCTGAATTAAAAATGACGTTCTTCGATAAAACATTTCGTACTACGCATGCGTAAAGATTCTTTTGGAAGTACAATAACTATCATTGCTAATTGTTCCCAACAAACGTATACTATCATGCCTGCATTGAAATAGTGAAAGTTTTAGTTTTAAAATCATATCATAATTTGGTCATCAATATTCAGTATCAGGATTTCTATATTGTATATTTAACCACACCACACAGATAAGATACTCAGTAAATTTTGGACTAATCTTAGACGTTGTATTTATTAGTGTTCGTGTTTGTTATGTATTTAATATGGGACTTTTTTGGCCTGAAATAAAGGATTAATAAAATGACAGAACATAAAATTCAGGAATGAAATATAAACTGCCCAAACGATCACGAACTTATTTAGTCTATCTAGTAAATATTCTGTAAAAGCTCGATGGTGGATGAGAAAAACAAAAGTAGACTCGAAGTAAGATCACACTGCAGGGAATAAAAACAAAAGAAAATTGGGAGGCGAGTAAAGGATGTTTACTTTTCAATGTTTACACATGTAGCCAAACCGAATTTATCACCCAGAATTAACACGTGTGAAAATATTGACCTGGGGTCAACCCGGTAGGTGAATAGGACGTGAACGCCGAGTTACCGCTGCGAGAATGAACAGAATGGGCGAACTGATAATGAATATTTATAAAGCGATCTATCACGTGTGAACACGGGCTTTTTTATCTGGCCAAATATGATCCAACAACACATGACTTTATTTCAGTACAATAACTATAAAATGTATAGTTTCAGTCTATTGAATTATAAGCTATTACTATTTTATATAAATTTAAAATATTTCCAGTATCTATGTCAGTGCCTTCAAACTTCGTCTCCAATTTGATATTCAAGCTCACTTGGCCTTGGTATCGTACGTTAATCTTGCAATCCCCTTGGCCCGCTTTTCCAATCTGGTCAAGGTTAACTTAGACTGGATACTCGCCCCTCCGCCGCGAACTGGAAACAGCGGTACACCACTCCCCAACATCATCGGCAGCACAAATATATCGAGCTCATCGACTAGGTTGGCCTTTAGAAACGCGTCGATTGTGACACCGCCCCCCATCACCCATATGCACTGGCCCTCCTTCAGATCTTTTTCTATCTCAGCGATGAGATTGCGAAGTTGTTCGTCAACTGAAGGTTGACCTTTGATCTGAAAGCACTTTGTATCAGGGAGCATGTCATCAATGACCGACGTCGAGAGGACATAAGACATCTTGCCTTTATAAGGCCAGTCAGCAAAGCCTCGAACTAACTCATAACTCGTTCGACCCATGATCAGTGCCCCAACAGTCTCATAGAACTCAGCATAACCACAGTCATCGGGTTTTTCTTCTCCCGTGGTGTCCTCGTATGACTCTAAGAAAGTGACCTTACCATTGGAATCGGCGATGAATCCATCTAGGGTTTGTGCGATGTAGACTGTAATCTTCGCCTTTCGCGGAGCTGCTTGCGTTGCCATTTCTATTGTCGCTTATACCTGAAATCTGTAATCGTTGTGAGTATGGTCAAGTGTACCACACGAGGAACGAGGAAGCGATAAGCCCTCTATGGTTTCTAATACTAGTATCGAAACTCTTCGGGTTTCCTGTCCCAAGTTCAACGCTGAGGGCTAAGAACAAACTTAACGGGGTCAAAATTTGCATATTAGCCCTTCAGTAAAAAGCCTCGTTTTGGTGCTCTAAATCAATATGTTGACACTGTTCTGTACTACAGGGCTAATACCACTAATTTAAACTCCATAGACGACAATGTTAACATATGACGAGATTGCTATATGAAAATGATAAACAAAGTTGAAAACATGGCTCAAAAAATGGGAAATCAACATGCCAGTAATCAACTACATGAAAACAAAAATTAAGATGTTGGCCAACTCAAACTCTTACAAATCTCAAACAAGACAATTTTTAAAAATGTATAAATAATTATGTTTTATTAATTTTGTTTTGCATTGGAATGTAATTTTACCTAAATTAAAAATGCCGTTCTTCGATAAAACATTTCGTACTACGCACGCGTAATGATTCTTGTAGAAGTACAATAACTATCATTGCTAATTGTTCCCATCAAACGTATACTATCATGCCTGCATTGAAATAGTGAAAGTTTTAGTTTTAAAATCATATCATAATTTGATCCTCACTATTTAGTATCACGATTTCTATATTGTATATTTAACCACACCACACGGGTAAGATACTCAATAAAATGACAACATAAAATTCATTTGACCAAGGTGATCACGCCCTCAAACAGGGAGCACCTGAAAAAAAAATATTTAAAAAAATTTCATTGGTTCTTGCAAGGCATTTAAATTGGAAAACACGCTAGTAATTAATTATCTTTACTATGGAAAGGTGTGACATTGAAGGATTGGTATAGAACGGACGAATTCCAGCATATATAATCTGTTGACCACTCTCTCAAGTTGATTCAAATGGTAAATGTAGTAGAATTTGAAAGGAAATCTATGAAAGATATGCAATATTTTTACCCCATTTTCAATACTGCAAGAAATCAGACTAATTTTGTGCAACCTGACGAATCTGGAGATTCGTTCTAGAATTATGTAAATAAGTCACAAAGAAATCGAATATTTATGTGACACTAACCAAATACTGTGGACCCGGAAATACCACGTGATCCACTATACTGTGAGTATGGGGAGACAGGGGGATAGCTGGTACAGGTTACAGGAAATAAAAAAAATGCATTTCACGTTTTTACAGGAAATAAATAGGTTTTTACACTTAACAGATAAAGAAAATTCCTAATTACATTTTACATGTGTATAATATACTTGATAATTTGTGTTTTGAGGCATCCGTAAAAAAATGAAAATTGCTGTGACTGATTTGTTTTTATGTGTTATTCTACATTTCCCAAGACAAGAATTGTGACATCCTTCCAATTTCTTCACAGTATTCACATGAATCTGCATTAAAGGATTACATACTTAACAGTCATGTGACCAAATGTAGGCTGTATCTAACGTAACACCGATTTTTAATTAGTATGATATATGAGCTTTCATAAAATACATAGTATTATGTTGTTTAAAACAACTCTTAAATAATTACTGTGAATTTTACTCCCTGAAAACCTCAACTACATCCTTACTACATCCCCGTCACTGTACCACTTAGTAATCTAAACCTGCAACATGCGTTTTGTACCTGTCGATTTCGAAGATTACACTTCAGATCATAGGTACCATACATGAACGAATTCAATGGCCTAATAGTGAATGCACGTTTTACTTTGGTCAATCGCTTGACCCTGTATCATATTCGATGGATGTGTAAGATCGCATGCTTCTTTCGTGAAATTAGTTTTCTAATTTGATACAACAATCTCTATGGGGAAACAAGACTGAAGGCAAACCTTGTTACTAAATTGGATCTAACCTGTCAAAGTGATATACGATGGCACTGATGCGTTTACCTTCTGTATTCATTGTCATCATTCCAGTAAATTAAATTAAAACGTATATGAAATCAATCAGTGAGTCACCATGGCTGATATAGATGAAATTGCAAAGAAGTGCATGAGGAATATATTACAACCGGCTGTTCACTGTCTTCACAAGATACTGTTCGGAAATTTATGAAGAAATATATTATCATATTCATAGTCATAATATACCGTGTCTGATATTCAAGTGACATAACAAGTAATTTAGTGACAATATCAGCTGATCCAATTTAGTAATATCACCTGATGCAGTGGCAATATCACCTGATCCAATTTAGTAATATCCCCGTATGCAGTGACAATATCACCTGATCCAATTTAGTAATATCCCCTTATGCAGTGACAATATCACCTAATCCAATTTAGTAATATCACCTGATGTAGAGACAATATCACCTGATCCAATTTAGTAATATCACCTGATGTAGTGACAATATCACCTGATCCAATTTAGTAATATCACCTGATGTAGTAACAATATCACCTGATCCAATTTAGTAATATCAGCTGATGTAGTGACAATATCACCAGATCCAATTTAGTAATATCACCTCATGTAGTGA